TTAGGGGCTTAAGGGGGTTTAGGGGCTTCAGGGGGTTTAGGGAGTTTAGGGCTTAGAGTTATGGGTTTAGGGGCTTAGGGGGTTAGGGCCAGGGGGTTTAAGGTTTTATTTTTGGGATTTTAGGGTTTTCGACTTGCGGTTGACAGGCGTGAAGTTCCGAGCTTAAGGCTCAAATCCTGTGGCTTCCGCACCTAGGGTTCAAGTTTCCCTTCCCTAAACCCTAAACCCTAAACCCAGGTGTATGGGCTCTCCCAGAATTCAGACAGAGAAGGCGCTGCTCGCGAAAGATGATGACAGTAGACGGTTTAGGGTTTAGGGCTTTAGGGTTTAGGGCTTTAGGGTTTAGGGTTTAGGGTTTTAGGGTTTAGGGTCTAGGGTCCCAACGAGCCGCACTTTGGGTAGAGGAGTTTGAAAGACAAGCTCTCTGCGTCACACGTTGCCAGCGATTCAACTACAGCCTCTACCGAGACTCCGACATGCAAAGTGCAAAGACCGTAAGCCTATAAACTTCAGCCCTAAACCCGTAAACTCCTAAACTCCTAAACCCCTAAACCCTAAACCCGTAAACTCCTAAACCCCTAAACCCGTAGGCCCCTAAACCCCTAAACCCGTAAACCCCTAAACCCCTAAACTCCTAAACCCGTAGGCCCCTAAACCCTAAAGTCGGGTGCCCAACCACTCTGGCAGACAAGCCGGATAAGCCCTCGTCTTGAGTCCGAACTTCCCCAGAACCCTGAAAAATGAGCTAAGGACTAAGCCCTAAACTCCTAAACCCTCAACAGGGTTTAGGGTTTAGGGGCTAGGGTTCGGGCCTCTGTGAGTGAAAGGTTTTGCTCTTAGGGTTTACTCGGTCGCGCAGTCTGCGAGCCCCAGGGTGTGGTCCCGTGGCAGCCAGACATTCCTTGAAGAAAGTGGGTTCCTCTTAGGGTTTAGGGTTTAGGATTTAGCTTAAGGCACTAGATTACTATAAATCGGCATGCAGAATTTGTAGGGTACAGCTCTTATTGTGATAGTTTTATCTCAGTTCCAAAGCAAGAATCAAGATTTCTACTGCTGGCTAAGCTAATGCGTTCATATGGGTGGTCTGTGCACCGGGCCATACTTGTTACCCAAGGGTCCAAGTACTCCTTATTTATGGCTTTTGGTACCCAAAATGGACCCAAGGTCCTATAATAGGGAGTACTTGGACCCTTAGGGTTTGAATTGAAGGAACCCCTCAAGCAGACTTTGAAGCCATCGCGCCATTGTTGGCAGGTGCCGGGCGGAGGCGGAGGAGGCACTCGACCGATGAACGCTAGGTCTATTAGGGGTAAAGGGTTTCGGGTTTAGGGTTTAGGGTGGTTTCGTGAGGTTCTACAGCGGTTTGTATCAGGCTTCCGATTTCGTAAAGATCTCTCCAGCGCTGAAAGTTCAACGGTCTCTAAGTTTATATGAAGCTGTGATAATGCCTTTCTGGGGCACTTGAAAAAATGCAAAGCCCGACATGCTCCAGAATCCTGAAACCCTAAAACCCGGAATCCCTAAAGCAACAACACACCCTAAACCCTAAACCCTAAGCCACAGACACCAAGCCGACAAGCCCTAGGCTCTGAGTCTAAGCCCTTCCATGGATCTCGCGATGAAACCTGCGACCCTTCCGGGAACCCTGACCAAACCTTTAGAGAAGCCCTTTTGTTGAACCGGACCTGTAAAAGGAAGCCTTTAAAGAACTGCTATGGAATCCTAAACCCTGAAAACTAAGCCCTTAAGGGGAAGTCGAACGGATTCCGTGACTTAACCTAGCTTCAAAATTCGCAAGCCTCGTACAACTCATATGGAATCCTGAACCGTTCCCAAGATCACACTTCTCTGTGACTTCTATCATATTGATGTTCCATCAAACCCCATTATAATTCTTGAGGGACCTACACTAGACCCTTACAACAACACTCGCACGGTCGATGGTATAAATCCTGCATTCCCCATAATAAGGAATAGACCATAGTTCCCGTAGTTTAGGGTCCTTAAGTTAAGGTAATGCAGGATTTATATCATCAGTAATATAGATCCCTTCGAACTCAAGAAGAGCCTATAACGAAACTCCTTAAGGCCTAAGCCCTAAACCCCTCAATTGGACTTACCCTAAGGGTCCATGTGCCCAAATAGTATATACTTCGGCCTTAAGTAGTCCCTATATAGGTACTTTGGGGACAAGGTATATACTACATATGTGGGCACATGGACCCTTAGGGTTAACACAGAAACCCTAAACCTTAAACCTAAGCCGGACCCCTAGGGTTAACGCAAAAACCCTAAACCGGACCCCAAGCCTCTTTGAAACCCTAAACCCTAAACCGGACCCGTAGGGTTAACTTCAGGGGCCACCGGATCTTCTCCCCAAGCGTCGCCACGCAGAGAACCCGGTGAACCTGGTTCCAAGGTTGAGGGGTGTAGGGCTTAAGGTGTCAGGATTCAGGGTTTAAGGTTTCAGGATTTAGGGCTTAAGGTTCAGGATTTAGGGTTTAGGGCTTAGGGTTTAGGATTTAGGGTTTAGCGCTTATAGGGTTTAGGATTTAGGGTTTAGGGTTTAGGATCAAAAGAGGCTTGGGGTTTCGGATGTGTCAGATGTCAGATTATTATCAGGGTTTGAGGATCGATGAGGTTATTCATACTGTTGATGATCGAAATCCTGCATGACCTTAAAGGACCTTGAACTATGGGAATTATGGTATATTAGGATTTAGATCATCAACCGTATGTTTTTTCCAAAGGGTCCTAGGTACCTATATGGTAGAAATTAATATCAGGAATTGGTATTATGAGTTGGGGAAGTATCCCCCTTAGCAGTACCTAGGACCCTTTGGGTTTTGGGAGGGTTTGATGCAGTGGCTTATCACGGGCCTATACGGTTTCGTTGCGGGCCATGTAAGTGTTCTAAAGGGTCGATGCTTCTTGGTTTTACGGTTCTGCACCATACGTTGTTATAAGCAGTAGGTACAGTACATGTTGATGAGGGTCTTGTGAATCTTGCAGTGCAGTGATGTGTATCTCCCATTAATCGCGGTGCACGCTTCGGTTTCGTTCAGACCATACAGCACCCGCATACGCTTGATGTCCCAGATCAACCATTGCCTTTTCGTGTAACCCGGCCTTTCAGCACCACATGAACCTGCAAAGTAGGGCCGTCAGACTGCCCTTATAAGCACCATTTGGGGGGGCGCGTGTGTGCATACGGTGGGAGAGCCAAGATTCTTAGCTTAGGATTGGCGGGTTTTGGATTAAGGGTGTAGGCTCCCAGGTAGCACTCTTTTACCACTTTCATGTTCGTGCTTCAAGTTGACAAATAAAGAATAAAGGAACTTATGGATCCCCTTACATAGAACCCTTATGGCAACCTTACAGAACTGCGTTAGAGGAGCATCCCCAAACCCAAAATCCCGAAAACCCAACAACCCGCTAACCCCAAACTGGCCCTACCTCCAGAACCCCAAGACCCCACCTTGATTCAACTACCATAACTGACTTTTTCGCAGGTTCTTCGTATGAACAGTCATACAGAAGTTTAAGTGATCCTACAATAATCAAGCAGGGATCGGTATGTCATGGTAAACCCCACAGACCCCAAAAATCTTAAAAGCCTAGAGCCAAAACCCTAAACCCCAAGATTTCAATCCCTAAACTTCAAACTGCCGAGAGCGCCGCTGACCATTCGCATGGGCGCTCGTGGCTCCGACCGAGGCCCCCGGCCGAGCGTCTCGACAGGACGTTGAGGGACCCAGGATAAACGGGGACGGAGGTGACTCGGCTAAAACGGGCGACCCGGACCTAGGGCCTGTCCCACCGCCCTTTTTGGGGTCTGCGAGATTCCTGGCCATTTTCCGAACCCGGTGGGTCTTAGGGGGCGACCTCTCGGGTTTGGGTGGCTGTGTGGTGGGTTTTGGGGGACGATTTTTTTCAGCCAGACTCAGGATAGGTGATTAGACTTCGAGCAACCCGGGTTGTTTGTTGGAAACCCTTGCTTCTCCTCGAGCGGCCGGCACAGGCCGCGAGGACCCACAACACGACACCAATCCATCTCAGTTGTGGTTTGATGTGAAATGTGGTCGTTTATGTGTCGAACTGCGGGGGGAAACGAAAAAACAAGAAAGCCCCCCTTGAGGGGGTTTGGGGGGTGAACCCTAAACCCTAATTGAGAATAGTTGGGGTGGTTGGGGCGGGACTACATGCTGACGCAAGCGCGGAATAAGTGGGTGCGCCTTTTTTCCTAAAGTAAACGGCGCACCCACCGCGCACACACTGTATACACACCTTATAAGCCCCAAACCCCAACCCCCCAAAGTGAAAACCCCGAGCCGTATAAAAACTCTAAACCTTGAAACACAAAGCAAACAAACCAAAAAAAACCCGAAACCCCAAAACTATAAACCCTACATAACCCGTATATAACCCCTTCATGCATCCCCTTTATAGGGACCCTCGGTCTGGGTTGTTCAAGTTCAAGCTCTGAACCCCAAAGCTTGAACCTTAAAACCCTGGCTCCAAGCCCGTCCATGAATGCCAGAAGGCTGAGGATGGCGCTGGCGACGGCTCCAGCCGCGACAAAGGCAAGGCAGTCAAGTACCAGAAGATGAAAGCAGTCGGATCGCTCCTGACCTGGGCAACGGACCTGATTGAGGTGCAAAGCACCAAGCACACTGCCCCCCGGGCCCACAAGTCCATGCTGATCAACAAGTTGTTCAAGAGGTTGCAAGATGGCTTCAGCTGGGTGTTCCTTGAAAAGCCTTGGGCATGTCCTTGATCGGCAAAGCTTTGGCCTTCGCCTTCGGGGCATTGTCCTCGATCGCCAGAGCATTGGCCTTCGGCGCACCACGGGCCTTCTTCCCTTGCGTTCCCGGCACCGTCTTCGAATAGAAAGCCGAGGAAATGGTGCCCTTGCCCATGGCTCCGAACACAAAAAGAATCACCAAAGGATCCGGCCTCGAACAGAAATCTCTGCCAACCCCAAAGCCCTCAAAGCAGAGGTCTTGGCTCCAAGAGGGCGTCTTCGACCTCCCGGAGTGGATCGAAGCAGTCGCCACTGGGCAGCCATTTTATCTTGTGTTGCAGTGGGGTCCCTAAGGCCCAAACCCTAAAGGCAATACCTATTGTAGGGTTTTTTGCGGGTTTAAGGGTTTTGGCAGCTTCAGGAATTTGGGGGTTTGGCTTAGACTTTAGGCCTTCCTTATATCGTTTGCGGGGTTGCAGGGTTTAGCGAGTTTGGGGACTGGAAGCGGCCGTGCGTTGGTCTAGGGATAGCGGAAATCTCTAAAGAGCTTACATGTGTTGTAATATGTGGTAGAGTTAGAAGGATTTGCTTTGCGGTTTGATGAGGACGCTGCGTACTTGCAGGTAGGGTCATAAGTGAGGTAACTAGCCGTTTGCTTTCAAGTCCAAACCCCAAATCAGGCCTGAACCCCTGAGGCATAAACCTTGCAAGAATTAAAACCGCGTAAGAGTTAAAAACCTACACGAACAACCTTGGTGCAAAGATGTGTAAAGCACTTCAGGGTATTTCGAAACTACGAGTTCCAAGAGATGCCTTGCAGAAATCGAAGCCTGCTTGTCAACCCAAAAAGAACACACTCTCCCCCTTCAAACATGTCAAACCTAAGCCCTAAGCGCCTAAGCCCTCTACCTAAGCCCTATACCCTAGTCCTCTAGAGCAAAGAAAACAAGGACCGCCGGGAAGCAGTCCTTGCAGCGCGTCTCTTCGAAGCTCCGAAAAGGCTCCAAGGAAAAGAGGCCAGGTCAAGTGTTTAAGGTTTGGGGGCGCGGTTACCGGGCTTAGGGTTTAGGGTTCATGTGGGGTTTAGAGTTAGAGTTTACGGTTTAAGGTTTAAGGGCTAAGTTTAGGGTTTGAGACTGAGATTTTAACTCCGAAGATTTTGAAATTCCCAGTCGTTAGGGTTCCTTAGTAAAGCATGCCCCAATATCATCTTACTACATAAGGCCTGAAGCTCCAGGGGCTGTTCTTTCACCGTTTTTGGGTTGACACACCATACTATGCAAGGCCTTCGGGCTATTTGGATTGGTGGGGTTTTGGGATATAAGGAACCGTCACGGATAGTTCTTACTTTTACGTCCATGCGGTGAGCCAAGTTGGAGATCTGTTTTAGGCTCTGTTCAGGCTTTAGGTGTTCAGTGCTTTAGGTCTTGAGAAATCAGGGCCAAGCGTGTCAGGATGGTTCAGCCAGGGTGTACGTCGAATTTGACCCTAAACCCTATAAGCCCTACCTGGACCCTGAAAAACCTACTTTTTTAAGGACCTATATAAACAAATCATAATAAGGAGCCCTAAAAAGGCAGGTTCTTTGGGGTCCAGGTAAACTCTCAAACCTAAACCGCTCTCCGAGGGTGATGGGCTCCGGGATGATACGGTTGATGGTATAAATCCTGCATTACCCATAAGAAGGAGTATAGCATAATTCCCATAGTTTATGGTCCTTAAGGTAATGCAGGATTTATATCATCAACGGTATTTCCTCTGCGGGATTTACGAAACCCCCGATGTTGACATAGACCACTGAGAACCAGGGCTCCAAGCCGCAGGGGTTCCGTCTTTTGGGATCTCTTCGGGTTCAGGATTTCGGGTTTTCGGTTTAGGGTTTAGGATTCTTTGCTGTAGGGTTTAGGGTTTAGGAAGTTCGATCAAATAAATAAGATCACTTGAGCGCCATTTGGTGTGTAACAGCCGGTTTTCCGGGAGACAGTGAAGTGCGAAGTCCTCGTATTAATGTGAGCCTTGTCCCCTGTAAGTATATATTTAGGGTTTTGGGTTACATATATATACATACATACATACATACATACATACATACATCTATTCTGTATCTGTATGTAGGCTTTCGGATTAAAAACCATGGACATCAAACCCTGTACTATCTACGCAAAAGACCACATGACTGAGTGAGTAGGGTTTTTTTAGGTTTAGGGTTTAGGGTCCAGGGTTTAGTGGGGTGGCCGAAAGAGACCGAAGAGAGATGATGGCTTCGGAGCCGGATCTGCAGTTTTGCAATGGCAACTTGACGGGCAGGGCACATCCGCCCCAAATGTGACATTCTCCTTCACGTGAAGCCGCCCCTGGCAGAGGGATCCGTGTTCTATCGGAGCGCCAACGGGTGCTTCTTGACAAGTGAGCGCATCGCTCCCAAAGCTATTGTTGCGGTAACCATCCGCGAGACGCAAGAGCGGGTTGATGCCGAAGCAGATTTTTCCGCACCACTTCCTTCGGTTGTTTTGCAGCGATAATACGCGTACTCAGGGCCCACCTCTGAAGGGTGCTGAGTCGAGGGTGCCCAACCTCGTCACCCAGATAAGTGAGGTTGAGATGCAGGTGAGAGCTGAGCTCACGTGGCAGCACCATGACTGGTGCATTCATAAGGTGGCATCAGCAGATCCGGAGTTTGACAAGCAGTTCTTTGCCGAGTGAGATCACCCCAGACATCAGAAAGGCATGTGTGCTGGGCTTTTCGGATCAGGTGCCACTCTGGCTGAAGCCGCGATATACAAGTCAACGTCTGGTTCACCTGCAACCGGCGGGAGTAGAACCCTGAGCAGACTCACAAACCCAAGCCAGCTGATCCGAAAATCCATATTCACGTCGAACCTTGCTAGTGAAGAAGCCAAACAACCTTAAACCCTAAAAGCTCTCTAAGAACCCTATACTAAAGCTCTAAATCCTAAACCCTAAATCCCTAAACCCTAAACCGTCCGAGAGCCTCGTGCGGGAGCCCTTCAAGGAACCCGGAACCCTAAACCCCAAATCCCAGACCCTAAACTCAAAAATGCAATTCCAAAACCCTACCGGTAAGCCCCCAAACCGAATCTTCGTATGGAAATCTGCAAAGATACCTCAATAGACCCCGAGTAAGGTAGGGTTTTTTGTGCTAATAATTGCAGGTAAGATCCATACCCTTAACCCTAGACCCTAAACCATAAAAGCTAAACCCCTAAACCCAAACCCTAAACCTTAAACCCTACACCCTAAACCATATAAAAGCTAAACCCCTAAACCCTACACCCCTAAACCCCCAACCCTACACCCCTAAACCCAACCCTAAACCCTAGACCCTAAACCATAAACCCCTAATGCAGGAACCCATATAATGAACTTGAAACCTTCCTTGACCAGTCTGGAGCCAGCGTTGCCCGGTGGCTGGACGACGACGACGGACTGCTTGCAAGGGCTCTAGAGTTCTAGTTTAGGGTTTAGGGGTTTAGGGTCTAGGGGTTTAGGGTTTAGGGCCTGGGGTTTCTTTTAGAGCAAGGGCAAGGGGGCTTAGGGTTCGAGGTTAGCAAGGTCTTCTCGGGGCTTGCAAACGCGTTAGAGGTTTGGACGAAGGTTTATTTAGTTGGGTGCTTTCAGGGCTTTATACGTTTATAATAGCAGAATCAATGCACTTTACGCTTTCTGTGGCAATATTATCCCCCCATAGAACTGAAAGTTTACGCGTTTGTTAGCAGCAACAAGGGCGGGGTCTCGCTACAGACCCTACGACCCTAAACCCGCAAACCCTGAACCCTACACCCTTCGGGTTGTAGGGTTTTCCCTTCAAGCTCAGGGCCCTGATACCTTCTGCAGACTGGAAAGCTGGGATTCCCGAGACTTGCCAGGAAAAAACAGCTTAACCCAGACCCCTTAAGGCCATAATTTTTTTTATCAACCAAAATGAAAATGAGTCGTTCTACTATGTCGCCAAGACTCCCAGTCCCAGTACACGAATACCCACATTCGGGGTCAAAAATAGATAGACAATACCTACTTTGGCCAACAGCTATGTCCCTAAGGCTCCATGTGCCCATATAGTATATACTTAGGCCTTGAAGTGCCTGTATAGGGACCCCTTTAAGGCTAAGTATCTACTGTAACGGTTTAGGGTTTAGGGTTAAGTATCTACTATAAATGGTACATGGAGCCTCTGGGTGTGGAGCCTTGGGGTACGTATGGCTGGAGGATGGGCCTTCTCTTCAGATGTTTCATTGCTTCGGTGCTTGAACGAGGCACGGAAGGGCTTATTAGGGTTAGTAGGTCTTATCAAGGTTGTAGGCTATAAAGGGTCTAAGGGTCCCTTATTAAGAAGCTCGAGCCGTTGCGGGGTTTCGGAAGGTCAGTGGAGGGTTGCAGATCACGGCTGTTCATTTGGCAGGGCCTGAACCCTAAACCCCAAACCCTAAACCCTAAACCCTAAACCCTAAGCCCTATAGTCCCTGAGCCCTGAGCCCTATAAACCCTGTTAGCGATTCTATTTCACAGATCCTAATCTACTTAACCCTCAAACCCTAAAGCTCAAGAGTCTCAGGAGCGAAACAACTTTCTGCAGAAGGTGCAGAGAGAGATCTCTACTGTGGTTTAGGGTTTAGGGTTTGGGCTTTAGGGTTTAGGGTTCGGGCTTTAGGGTTTAGGGTTTGAGCTTTAGGGTTTAGGGTTTGGGCTTTAGGGTTTAGGGTTTGGGCTTTAGGGTTTAGAGTTTGGGCTTTAGGGTTTAGGGTTTGGGCTTTATAGGGCTTAGGGTTCGGGCTTTAGGGCTTAGGNNGGGTTTTAGAGGTTGGGGTTTAGGGTCGTGTAAGAGGTTTTCGCAAGCTTTGTAGAGGGTTCTGTATGATTGTATAGGGTTGTTGTTTACAGGGTTAGCTTGTACATGCTTCGTGCAGGGGTTCTATGAAGCCTGTTTTTTGGTTCTGCAAGGGATCTATTAGTTTTTAGCCTTTTTTTTGCCTCTGTAAGGGATCTATTAGTTTTGTTGTAGTTACCTGGTTTTCTACATGTTTATAAGGTTTCTGTAGAGAATGAGTGTAGGTTCTATAGGGATTCTGACGAGGGTTCTACCAGGTTTCATACCGTGTTCTGTTGTCGTTCTCTAGCGTTTGAACAGAGGCTCTACGGGCGTTCTGTCAGGGTTCCATAACGTATACCATCTTATACCCTTAAAAACCCTCAACACCCCTCAACCTCCACATCATTCCACAACCGAGGCGAATGGCAGAGAATGACAGACTCTCATGAGGAAGTCGTCTAAACCCGAATCCTTCAAAACCCCCAAACCACCCTAAACGATAAACCCCTTGAGGAGGTCGTCAAGCTCCGTCAAAGTCAACTCCAGGTCCAAGAAGTTTAGGGCTTAGGGCTTAGGGT